GACGATATCGCGCACGGCGCGATGGTCAATTTGCTCGGTCTGGAGCCCCCGGAGATCGCAGAGGACGAGGAACGGCGAGATGATGGACGAACCTTGGCAGAAAACGATGCGTCATATTGTTGTGCGGCCATCGCATTCTCCACTTCGAAACCCCGCCCTGGGGGCGAGGCGCGGAAAATCGTGGCAGACAACAAAGTGAACCGAGGCTTCCGCGCGGCGCGTGGCCGCGCGGTGGTGGAGGAACCGATCGAGGCCACCAAGGGAAGGCCAAGTGCGGCATCTGCAAGCACGTGGGCCACTGGCACCGAGAGTGCCCCCAGAATCCCAAGAATCGAGCTGACGCACAGATGCCTGCGCCAAGTCTCGCGGCCATGACAGCGCCCGTGGACGACGAGTTGTGCAGCTGCGTGGCCACGGAGGCGATGATGGCGGCCAAGTCCAACTTCTTCGAGCACATCGCCCTGGCCATCGGCATCGAGAGCTCTGGCCGACCGGCTGGGGGGCCCACGATGCGCATGCGGCTTCAACATGTGGGTTTCGACACGTATGTTGAAGTGGACAAGCAAACGATAACAATGACAAACACCGAATCATGTTGGAAACGATGCCCTGCTTCAGACGTGCTGCGTCGTGAACGACGAGATCTGCGCGGCGACCGATGGCGTCATCATCTCCATGATTCTGGGCAGGCTCTGCGGGAGTATCTTCGTGTGTCTGGTGAAGTGCGGTGCTCCGCTCCTCCTTGCCAGGACTTCCATTGTGGAGCTGAGGGCCTCGCTGCGCGCCTTCAAGTCGGAGCTGGACCTTCCAGAACAGAATGTGAGGTCCCCCCTGGCCCGCGCAGGCGGCGAGCATTCTTTGCGGCTGGATAACTTCGAGCGGGGACCTGCGCGCGAAATCAGACTCAATTGATTCCGGAACGAAAAAGAAGTGCCGGCGTCTCCCGGGGTGTTCACCATGCGTCGATGCGCGCGCTCAGAAGATGGAGACTGGGTGATGGCTCGCACGGGGCACGCCGCCAAGGCCCGCGTGGGTCGTGCACCAGGGGGAAGAACGGCTGAACCAAAGGTCTTAGACAACATGCGGCTTAACTAGCAGCACGACTACCAGGAGCTAGAGGAGGACGTCGCCGAATGGCAGAGCGCGTGGTGGATGACATCAGCAGTTGCAGCCGCAGGCCATGCGTCGACGTCCGCCTGCCTAGCGAGCAGTGCAACAGCCTCGACAAGATGCGCTCCGGACAACGCGGCATCAGCATTGAGGCAACCGGCGCCATCCGCAGCGCTAGCTTATGGCCAGTCTGGCTCGAGCACGAGAGCGGCCAGTTTCAGGGCGCTGCGTCCCGGGTCCCGTGCAGTGCAGTTGCATCCATATGTGCATGTCATCCGACGAGCCCCCGAGCACGTCGCATCGGCTTTCATCGCCGTCCTCGACGCCGGGAGCTGCGGCATCGTGAGCTTCGAGAGTCCAGGAATGGACGGGCGCTCCTTTGCCGAGCAAGCCCAAAGCAGCAGTCTCCAAGACGCAGAGGGCGGGCCAGAAAGGCGCGATCAAGATCAAGTGGCCGAGGCGCGAGATCAACGACGAGTCGAGAACGCTGGCTGGAGTCATGCTTGCCCGACATCTCAAGATTGCCGACGGCGTGCCGCGCATGCCGGCGGTGGGTGTGCAACCTGGGGGCCGCGACCCGGAGAAGGGGGTCAGCTGTTTTCGCGAGCTCAGTTCTGCGAGCGTGGCGGCAAGGCGAAGGCCGAGTGCGCGCCGCGCTTGCAAGGTACACCTGGGATTCTACCCGCGAGCGAGTGCCGGGATGCACGAGGTGATCGGCGCTTCGGAGGAGCGGGGGGACTTCGAGGCGCAGATCAAGGGCTGGCAGCGAGAAAGAAGACAACCGGCGGCCAGGTACCGACACCGATGCCTAGAGCGCCTCCAAGACGGACTTCGACGCCGACTGGCACGCAGGACCAGGGTGCAGCGTCGCGGTCGAGGAGGACTACGACCAGGGGGGCTGGAATGAACTGGGGGGCGCGCCTCAAGAGCAGGCGAAACCTCCGCGTGCCAGGGCGCTTGCTGCGCTGAGGGAGCTCATGAAGGATGAGAGCGCGAACTAGACGACCAACCTGTTGGTCGGCCCTGCGCGATCGCGCAATCACCGCGGGGCAGGCACTGTCGAGGATTGATCAAGCTCGGCGCGCGCGAGGAGAAGCCCCTCGCTCGCCCCATCCGTGACCTGGGCGGGCAGGAGAAGCTGACTGACGCGATCGCCAGCGCGATCCCCGAGAGCTCAGCCGTGCCCAGCTTCCACGCGGACGAGATGGAGGACGACTGCGAGCGCCTGGCATTGAACATCCGCGTGGAAAACCAGACGACGCCGACCATGAGCAGGTGGTGGTGCTCTCAGGGCACCACCTCCTGGCGCGCGGTGGGCAGGTCGCGGTGTGGAACCACGTCGACGAGGCCACGCCCGTGCTCGTCGTCGTTGGCCCCCCCCAAGGAGACCCGCCAGATGCGGCTGAGGGGGGGGGGGGGGGTCGGCCGGCACTTGATGGCCGTCATGTCTGACGTTGCGACCAAGCAGGCCTTCGGCTCCAAGTGCTTCTGCCGCGCGCAAGACTCGCCGTCAGGGGAACGGGGGGGGGGGGGGGGGGGGGGGCGATTTCGCCGCGAGGCTCGCGCGCCTCGCTCGCGCGCCTCCCTGAGATGCAGGAGGAGAAGGCCAGATCGATTCTTTGGAGCTGTCTGTTGAATCCGCCTGGTGCCTCCCGCGAGTTCGCGCAGATGCTGTGCCTGGGGTGCGTCCGCGGCGGGGCCCCTCCGCGAGTTCGGAGATGCCGCCCAGCTGATTCCCGAGCTGGTCGGAGCTGTTGTACGGGCAATCATCAGAGGCAGGAAGGCGGTCTTCGAGGGCCACGCCAACCGCGAGCACTAGGAGGAGGCGGCGGGCGACAGGCAGGCGTCGGGGGCGCACGACGCGCTCCGCGCCCCCGACGAAAAACGCTGCGAACGCAAGAGGCATGGGCCCCTGGATCGTTCAGGCAGCCCAGCAGATTCACGAGTGATTGGGTCGCTGCATCAACGAGTATTTCGTCGTGGTCCTCGCGCGCAGCAAGGCGCGGCAGGCGATTGCCGAGGCAGCTCGACACTTGACCTGTTCCGCGTGCGCGGCCAGCAGACGACCGAGGCTTGCCGGGCCCTCCAAGGCGCCTGCGACGCTCCAGTTCAACAACGTGATCGGCATGGGCATCTTCTCTGTGCTCGGCCCCGACAACGCCGCCAAAGTGCCGATGATCGGCGTCGCGCGGCGCGGGGCTGGCCCTCGGGTCGCGATTTTTCTTCCCGGCCGACGTGGCCATCGTATCAGAAGGCGCCATCGAGCCTTATGGAGACGAGTCTCTGGCGCCCCCAGAGCCATGCTGATCTATGGCGAGAGGAGTTCCTCCACGGGCGAGTTGCCAGATGCGGCGGGGAGTGATGTGTGCGAAGTGGAGGTGACCTGTGCAGCGTCGCCCTGGCAGACGGGCGCGACGCTGCGGGCAGGAGGTGCTCGGAAGGAGGCGCCCCCCCGAACGTGGCAGAGGGTCAACGCTGGCAACTGGGGCGACTTCTACGAGCTCGTCGAGTCGATTAACGCGGCGATCGAGGCGTGCGCAGCGGGGCGGCTTCATATTCCATCAGCGCATCGTCGGATGTCCTTTCCGACGGCCCGAGAAGATTCAGGAGCTGGGGTCGCCGAGCCGATGAATCGAACGACCCGACCTCCTCGAGGGACTTCGTTCCAGCCTGGTTGCCAGTGCTATTTTTGGCAGAGCAGTATCGACAGATTCCCATGAACTCGTGGTGCGGCCCCGCTAGGGTGATTTTGGCGGAGTTGCCCAATGCGGTTTGGTGCCATTTGTGAGGGGGGCTTGCTGGCATGTTCTCCCGAGCAGCTGCTCCGTGCCGGGGCCGGCACTAGTACGAGGACCTTACAAAGCAAAAACATCCCCCCGACGCGGGCGAGCAAGGAACTCCGTCCTGAAAGGGGCATTGTTCATCTTTTGAGTTTATCGGAATGCGACAACGTCGGGCCGAACAGTTTAAGGACGCGTGCAGCGACAATCCGTTTTTTTGTTGTTTCCTTTTTTTCCACCCTTTGTATACATTGTATACCATATACACACATTTCAAGGTAGCTGCAACACAGCTCTATGGTAACGGAAGGTAGCGTGGTTTCATGAGAAGGCTCCTTTCTGGACAGGATTTGCCCCCCCCCCCCCCCCCCGTGCAATTGCTGCACGGTTTCATAGGTATTGGCGTTCTGCGTGGACGCCTCAGGCGAGAACGACATTTTGAGGAGGGACCGCCATGCATACGTATACCTTGTTCATTTGTTTCAGACGAGTGTGCGCGGCGTCAAGGCGAGAGCCCCGCTGCGAACACAGATGCTGCTCCATCCTTGTAGATAGTTTGTGCATTTAAACTGAGTGTGCGCGGCGCCCAGGCACAGCACATATTTTGAAAACGATTCGCCCTCCATGCGCGTAGTGGTTATAAGTTTCAAGCTTCACTCTCGTCGACGCTGAGGACGTCTCAGGCGAATCGCCCTGCCCGCCATAAGGGCCCGTCAGGTGGTGTGCCATGAAAGAGCTATATATGATGTGTGAATAATGATGGCGATGCTGATGATGACGATGATGAGGAAGAGGCGGAGGGGGATGAGAAGGAGGAGGAGAAGGAGGAGGAGGAGGAGGAGGAGGAGGAGGAGGATGAGGAAAAGGAGGATGGGAGGAGGAGGAGGAGGAGGAGGAGGAGGAGGAGGAGGAGGAGGAGGAGGAGGAGGAGGAGGAGGAGGAGGAGGAGGTGTAGGAGGACGATCAGGAAGACGAGTTACCTCCTGCCTCCGTCTTTCCCCTCTCCCTTCCCCGGCTCTCCGCCCCCGTGTCCCTCCTGTGGCCCATCGTTCCTCATCGCCCCCCGCCCCCCACCCCGCACCCCGCCCCTCCCCGCGGCGTTTCCCGGAGGAGCCGTGGCTTCTCCAGCCCCTGCTCGAGGCGGCGAGGGCGCCGGGAAGGGGAGGGGGAGGGTAACGTCAGGTCGAGCATGTCCCCCCTACAGGGGGATTTTGGGCGAAAAATTAAACATACCCTAGAAATCCCCCACGACTGCTAAACAATAGTAGAACAGTTGTCCACTGATTATGTTTGGACTATTCTTGGGTGTTCCCCCTGTAGAGGGACAGGCCCGACTTGAGGGTAACGTCAGGATCGACGTTGGGGGGGGACAGGCTCAGAGGGGGGAGGCATCGACCCCCAATCGCCCATTCGTCGCCGGCAGGGGCCCGGGAGCCCACCCTGCCCAGGAACGTTCGGATCGGCTCCCGGGGACCTATCGCCGATCTATCGGTGATGCATGGCCGATTCAAGCTCGGTGTGCATTCCCTTCAGCAGTTACTCCCCGAGCGTTGCCCCTCAGGAGGAAGGAGGGGGGTTCAGGTTCGATGCTCGAAGTTTATTTCAAACCTCCTGCGTGGAATCGGGTTCCCGTTTTGAGTCTGCAGCGCCGCGCGTTTCCTCCTTCCGCGGATCCCCTTTGGGGACCATCCGTTGACATTGGGGCGGTGCAGAGACGACTAATATGGCCCTTGCGCAAGGATATTACGAACGAGCCGAGACGTGAATACAATGTTCGGTCTTGCGCTGTGCCTCCTGTGGCTACGCTCCACACATCCGTTTCGGCGCACCACTCGCGCGTATCGTCCTCCACATGGAGCTCCACCTACTCCCCCAGTGAGTGCGCTCACGTTGGCACACCCCTCAAACGGTTCGTGCCCCACAGGGGGCTCCGCCTATGGCCCCCGATATCGCGTTCGCATAGTCCACCCATGGCCCCAGAGACTGCGTTCGCATGGCGTCCCTGCGTCAATTTCGGCACACCCTCACAGGGATCGTGCACCACAGGGAGCTCTGCCTATGGCCTCAGAGACTGCGTTCGCATAGCGTTCACCCGCTCGTGTCGGCAAGCCCTTACACGGATCGGGCCTCACATGGAGGTTCACACATGGCCACAGAGACCGCGTTCGCATAGAGCCCCTCCGCGAATTGCGGCACCGCCTTGCAACCACTCGTGCCCCACATGGAGCTTTACTTACGGTCCCAGAGACTGCGATCGCATAGCGTCCCCCCGCTCGTTTTGGCGCACTCCTCGCACGGATCGTGCCCCACCCGGAGGTTCACGTATGGCCCCAGGCTGGAGCGATGCTGAGGAGGGAGGATGAGGGATGGGCGAGGGTGAGCAGGCGGACTAAGGACGAGGAGGAGGAGGATGAGGAGGAGGAGGATGAGAAGGATGAGGATGAGGATGAGGATGAGGATGATGAGGAGGAGGAGGAGGCGGAGGAGGAGGAGGAATTGCCCTTTCCTGCCCCCTCTGGCCGGCTCTCGTTCCCTGCCCCATACTCCGCTCGGTCCTCTTCCTCTCCTGGCTTCTCTCCTGGCCCCCCCTCCCCCGGGCTCGCCCCCCCCGCTCAGCCCAAGGCCATCGTGGTCGGCGCGCGGCCTGTCGCCGTCTCAGGTGCCCTGCCTCGCGCTGCCTCGACGCGGCTCGTCCTCTCCCGACCCAGACAGGCCTTCGCCCGCGGCGAGACCCGCGGAGGCGAAACGAGGAGGAGGAGGAGGAGGAGGAGGAGGAGGAGGAGGAGGAGGAGGGCCGTAGCCTCAAGCCATTGTGGCTCAAGTTTTTTTTTTTTTTTTTTTTTTTTTTTTTTTTTTTTTTTTTTTTTTTTTTTTTTTTTTTTTTTTTTTTTTTTTTTTCCCCCCCCCCCCCCCCCCCAACCCAAACGGTACCACTAGTTCGCAGCCAGAACGAATCCTTTCTCCAGGTCCGCTCGTGGCTGAGCCCTCGTTAGTCCGCCCCAGCGACGCCGTCTTTCTTCCGCGCCCGATTGTACAGGATTTCCATCCCATGGCAGTCTGGCAAACGACCTGGTGCTGTCCGTTCAAGAAGTTTGGTCTAACGTCCAACTATGCGCGGCGAAACAGGCGCTTTCGCTGCAATGTTTCCAAGGGCGGGCCTGTTGCGGCGGACGGGGGACAGCCTCCTCGTGGCGTCTGGGCAATACCGCCATCGCTTTCGGTGCGTGAGCGTCAGAGCGAGAAGCAAAAACCTCCCCCTGTGCTCTCTGACCAGCAGGTCGAAGCGTTCGCTTCCATGCCGCAGGAGGCGTTCGACTTGCTGGTGCCGCCGTTGGGGCAATCATCCAGAGATCGTGTGCAGCGGGCGCGCAGTTTGCTGTCAGGCGACCTCAAGGTCGTCTCGCATGTGGCACACAGGGAGCACGAGCAGCTCACAAGCAAGGTGGGCAAAGGGAACCCGAAGGATGACACAGCATGTGAGGGGTTGCAAGATGCAGCATATTAGGCTGCGACATATAGGCAGGATTGTGAGCAGCTTCGGGTCCAGCTGAAAGAGGTGGCGGCGCGTGTATCGGCAGCCCATCTTTCCATGGGCGGTGTCGAGGTGCAGTCGCATGGCACGGATGGACGCGAGAGCGATCCTGCTGCAGCGCGCTGAGATGCAGGAGGAGCCCGAGCTCACCGCGAAGCCCGTGGAGATCCTGGAAAGAAATGCACGGCGCTTGGCAGGCGAAGAGGGTATAGCAGCCGCCGCAGGCCGCTGCCTCGCAGCAGGCCGCCACCGCTGCTCCCCCCGCAGGTGCCAGGCGCAGCAGCGCCGGGCTCGCCAGGCCCAGGGCCCGTTGAGCGTACTGGTGCTTCTTGTCCTGCTGCTGATCTTGGCGCTCGTCAGCCCCAGCCGCTCGAAGACGCCGCCTTGCAGTGGGCTGAGTGCAACACAGGCAGGCTTCTTGCTGCTGTGGCCACTGCCATGGACGACGATGACATGGAGGGAGCCAGTGAAAGTGCGCAGCGTGCCAAACCGAGAGCTCTGATGCTGGTCACGGAGGCAGTCTTGTGGCTCAAGAAATCTCGCATCATTCCCGCTAGCTGTTTCGTTCTCCCGGCTTTGGGGTAGTAGGAATTTGCAGATCTGTGCAGCGAGCGTCGCCAGCCGGCCAGGCTTGGAGACGTGGATGGGAGCTCTGTGTGGGAAGAGTCTGACCTGGTGCTTGTCCACGAGGCGCCGATCCCTGAGAGGTGGCGTGAGAGGTACGAGCAGCAATTACAGTACGCCGCAGTGGAGGGAACGGATCTTTTAAAGCTGCCCCGCGCACGGCAGAAGATGATAGCAGGTCGCTAGCAGGTTTGACCAGGATGCAAGGGGCACTGTGGTAGTAGTACCTTTGATCTGCGGTAAGCGTCATGGGCAGGGTGTCCAGCGTACAGTAGATCAGGGGAGATCATCGTTGATGCATCTCAGCCTTGGGCCCACGGGAATATTGCTTTGTGACGCTGTTATTGTACGATTCAGAAGAGATGAGCCCTCGCGCCCTGGCCCTCGCCTGGAGGACCAAATGCTTGAGCTGCTCTGCCTTCTGCTCTGCCTGCTTGTACAGCTGGGCGCGCACCTTCTCTGCCTCCTTCTTTCTTGGTCTCGGTGTCCTCCAGAGTGCCTTTGCCTGCGCTCTGGTGCTGCTCGAGCTCCTGCTTGCAGCGCATGCATGCAGCCGGCGTTCGCCCCCTGGTCGTCGACCTCCTCCATCTCTTCCAGCAGGTCTTTGGGGATCTCGAAGCCCAGGAACAGCTCGGACGCCTTGGCCCCCTCCTCCAGGTTGGTGCCAGCACCCCTGGTCTCCCCGAGGTACTTCTGGTTGACCTTCCTGAGCCCCTCCTTAGACACAGCGTACCCGTCCGCCGCCACCTCTCGCTCCGCCTCCGGCTCGGCCGGGTGCCGCTTCGCCACCTGCCCCCTTGACTTCCTTCGCCAGCAGCACCTGCAAGTCTTGCGTGGCCGCGCCCCGCGCCTTCTTGAGTTCGGCGAAGGTGTCCGTCTGCTGCGCTGCAGGTGCCGCCGCCTTCCCCTCAGCAGGGGCCGCGTACCTCCGCAGCCTCTGTAGCCCCTCGACCTTGTCGCCCTTCTCGACGGCCTCCAGGGCCGCTCGCAGCTCCTCAGGTGTGGGCCCCGATCGGGCACCCTGCTCCTCCCACCCCTTGCCTCCTCCTCGGCTGTTGTCTCTCCTGCGGCTGCCGCCTCTTCCGCCTTTGCCACTGGACGCCTGCTGCGGAGGGTCCGTCTGGCCGTATGTCGTTCGCAGCGGCACGTCCACCTTCTGGGTCCCTGCGAACGCCCCGCAGCAGCACCAGCCCTTGACATGGCATCCCACGTCCAGTCGCCGCACTCGTCGCAGACCATGTGGATCCCGCGCTTCTTTCCTTCACCCTTGCCCATCTTCGGTTCCTCTGGGCCGTGGTATCCGTCCTTCAAGCTGCCTCCAGGCGCCAGCCTCTCCAGCAGCCTCTGGCTATCGCGGCCCGCCCATGCCGCGAGAAGCGAACACGCCGCCTGCCTGTGGCGCCGCTCGCGGTGGTGGGCGGCCGACTCGCGTGCCGCCGTCGCGCTCGTCCCAGCCCGCGGCCCGCAGGCTTCAGGACGACATCAGGAAGAGAACGCGGAGGAGGAGGAGGAGGAGGAGGAAGAGGAGGAAAGGCAGTACAGATCATATGATGATGATGAGGATTATAATGATGATGCTGATGATGATGCTGATGAGGATGATGATGAGGATGATGATGAGGATGATGATGAGGATGACGACGTCGATCACGATGACGATGACGATGCTGATAATGATGATGATGATGGGGGGAGGGAAAGAGGAGGAGGAGGAGGAGGAGAACGACGGCGACGACGACGACGAGACCCGAGGCGGCCCGCCCGCTGGAGCCGTGGACCCCCGAGCTGGAGAGGGCGGCGCATGCCGCGCGCGAGCGCGTGGAGGGCGCGTCGGCGCTGCAGCAGAGGCGCAAGGACGGCCTCCTCTCTTTCTCTCTCGGCGGCGAGCGAGGGGCACCCTCCTCTCGGGGAGCGAAGGATGACATAAACACAAAAGCTCGGAGGTCCGCGCGGATTTTTTTCGCATCCGCGCCGGACCCCCCCGGGAGGCGCCTCCGGCGCTGCCCCTGGCGCGCTCCGCGCGCCAGGGAGGGGGGTTCCAGCGCGGATCCAGGAAATCCGCGCGGACCTCCGAGTTTTTACGTTTATGCCATTTTTCGTTCTCCTATTCTTGCGCCCCCGTGATCCCCCCCACGGAAAGCGCCGCCGGCCGACGTCCCTGAAGGTCGACCCCCCAGTGCGGTGTGGTCCTGCGCGAAAAGTCCCTGCCTCGCGCCCGCTGCCTCTGCCTTCCCCCCTGGCGCGAGGTGGAGGAGGGGCACGAGGCGGCGGCGAGCGATGGGGGGAGACGTGAGAAGGAGAAGGCACTCTCAGAAGGCGGCGAGACTTCTCAGAAGCCCTCGCGCCTTCTGAGAGGTTTTCTGTGTCTTCGTGGAAGGCCTAGAGGAACCTTCTCAGAAGGCCAGGGGGCCCCCGAGCCTTCCGAGGAGGCCTTCTCCCCCTCACTTTCCCCCCGGGCTCGCCGCCGATCTTCACCAGTCTGGGATGTGCATGCGTCCTCTGCGGTGGGGGCGCTGGTGCGGGAACGTGCCCGGGAGGCCGCAGGCCCTGGGAGATTCCTGGTTTGGGGAGGGCGGCGGTGGTGTCCATGGCCAGTTCACGACTGGGACCCCACCGGCTTCAGACCCACATGTCGTGTGCGTTTCCCTTCTCCCCTCGCCTCATTCCTCCGCCTCCCCCTCTTCCTCTGCTTCTCTTCCGCGCTTTAGTTTTGGTCTCGCCTGGGAGGCACGGGCGATAACGGTCCGGCGGCAAGACAGCTTGCCGACTCCCCGTTCTTATTTCAAGCATCCGGCATCAGTTCATGGGGTCATCGTTCCCTGTGGTAAAAAAATACACGCTTCAGACCTTGGACTCCTTGTCCAATGATTCCTGATCCAATGCCCTCACCGTAGTCGACCCCCTTCTTCAGGACGCGGTTTGGATGCGCTTTGTGGCCCCTTGAAGGCCAGCGCCAGCTTTCCCGCCGGCTACACCCCCCCAAACGGCATGTGCATGGTCGATAGGTTTGGGAAACATTGTTGTGTATTTTTTGGGGGAGTTTGCGGAATCGCCATCATGGATTAGCGACGCGTGGATTAGTGACGGGTCCCGTTGCCGTGCAGAATCGGTGCGATCCGTCGCCAAACTAGGCGGCACTGGCTTCATATTTCTGGGGGACCTTGTCCGATCCATGGACCTGACGCCAACGCGCCAGATCCACGGATTCCTAATCCATGCCAGCGCCCGCCCGATACTAGCGTTTCAGGTATTTACACTAGAAAAGTACTCATTTTCTAGGCTAACTTTAGAGTAAGAAGACTCGAACAAAGTGGGTTCTGCTCGTTTCCTGCTGACATTTTGATGTGCGTGTGCCCTTTTTTGGTCTTAAAAAGCAGACCACCGAGGAGCTCCGCACGGGGGACGAGGAAAGCCCTGGGTCGCCCCGTCCGGCAGCCGTTTCGCCGGAGACTTCCTTTTACGAGGCATTTCGGGAGGGACAAAAACGCACAGGCACAATCCATCGTCGATCCTCAAGACAATCTGGGAAAATATGGGAAGTGGGGGGGAAGACAAAAGCCCAGAATATAGGGGAATCTTGTTATTTGTGTGTGTATTCATTTGTGTGTCCCAGGGCCCTTTCAGTATTCAGGAATCCTGCTCTCGCCGCACTGCCGGCGGCATTTGTTCTGGCCCAAGACGCGCGGAAAGCAGACGCGCAAAGACGGCCTCCTCTCTTCTTTCTTGTGTTGGGTGGCGCGTCCAGGAGCTCTGGTGCGCTCTGCCGAGGTCGATCCGCCAGAGTTCGAGGACGAAGCATCGGCACCAACCGCGACTTTCGCACGGCCGCTCAGACTTCTTGGATCGGCTCTGGGCTCCCCTGGCCGCGCCTCTGGCGCCGAATCCGGCGCGCTCCGCACGCCCGAGAGGGAGGCCCAGCGCCAGCCCAGGAAGTCCACAGGGACCTCCGGAAGTTTATGCCGATGCGGACTGCAGTCTCCCAACCTGCGATGCTCGCCCGTTTCCCCTCCCGCCTTCTGCCAATTCGCCTCCTCGCGTCCCGCTCAGGCTCCGACAGCGCCGTGCGCTCGCCGGCGCCGCGACAAGGAAACGTCCAGGACATTCCTTTGACTGCCGACGCAAAGCTTCAAGCTCTGAGGCGGGCCTCTTCGTCTCCACCCTGTCCTCCTCCTCTTCCTTCTCCGCCTCCTCTTTATATTTTGAATGATTGTGCTACATGATCGGTTCGGACGTGCGCTTCCAAGGGGGGCGCAGACGTCGTCGTTCCGAACGTTTCGTGATGAATTGAAATGCATCACATACAATGGCAGCGAGAGTATCCTGTCCGGTGGAATTTTCGAAACTATGCCGTTTTGACCATAAGTGTCTCCTGATAGGATCTGATCGGATGAATTCCTGGGCTCCGAAATCCCAGATCGTCGATCCGACTGCTCTTGACTGAGCCCGTTAGGATTCTAGGGAAAAGAGGAAAAGGGGTGCCAGCTCTGTGCGGTCGTAACAGGGTGATGACTTCGCCCGCCCGCTAGCGCGGAAGCAACGGAAGAAGCCCACATCATCTTGACGCTCTCATGGAACTTCGCGAACTGTCGTAATTGCGTAGTTCTAGTCCTCCCAGGTGGGGTCCGAGTAGATGGGATCGGAGGATCGCGCAGTATCGCTGATGCATCGGCGATGCGGCCCGATGTGGAGCCCGAATTTTTCCGCCCTGGCACCGCCGATGCACCGCCGACGTCGCCGATGCATCGCCGATGCATCGGTGATGCGGCGCAATCCTCCGACCCCACCTACTTGGAGCCCTTCTGGTAGGAGGAGGAGGAGGAGGAGGAGGAGGAGGAGGAGGAGGAGGAGGAGGAGGAGGAGGAGGAGGAGGAGGAGGAGGAGGAGGAGGAACGAGGGGAAGGAGGAGGAGGAAGTGGAGAGGGAGGAGGAGGAGGAGGAAGAGGAGGAGAATGTGGCCTCCTGCGTCCCAGGAGAGGCGAGGGAGGGCCGCGCTCCCTCGCCAGGACATCGAGCAAGAGCTGCGCGCCCACCTGCGGGCAGCCTCCACGGCCGGCGGCGGCGGCAGCGGCGGTGGTCGGCCGCCCTGCCGAAAACCAGCGGGGCGCCAGTGCGGCCCTCCTCCTCCTCCTCCTCCTCCTCCTCCTCTCCTCCTCCTCCTCCTCCCTCCTCCTCCTCCTCCTCCTCCTCCTCCTCCTCCTCCGTAGCCACTTTGGCTCAAGATGGCACGCCGTCGCGAGCGCAGCGTGGATGCCGCCAGTCCGAGGCCAGTCCCACCTGTCTTGCAGCCGCACCCACGGGACGAGCCGCCGTCCATTCCTGCGTTCCTTCCCAGCGGTGCAGGCCGCCTTTCACATTGCAGTGTGTCTCGTGCAGAGCATCCAGTCCGTCTCGAACCCAGTGCCGAGCCTCCGTATCCCCGCATCGTGCGCAGTGCCGAGTACTCATATCGAGCCATCGTGTGCTGCTCCGAGCCAGCCAACGAGAGTCAATCAAGTACGCGGTGGTCCTGCAGTGTACTTGGCCGGTGGCGAATCGTTGAACAGCACCCTGGTACCCGTTGTCAGTATTACAGCATCATGTCCGCCGCTTCCTCGGACAGGGACGACCACTCCAATGGCTCCACGTCCCGCGGCCGCCGAGAGGACCTTCACCAACGCCACGAAGATTCTCGCCGCGACGGCCGACGTCACGCCGACCGCCAGCATCGACGGGAATAACCCCGTAGAGACGGCCGACGCGCTGCTCGCGAACTCCTGGGACACCGTGGCAACACAGGATTCAGCTGTCAAGGCCCTGCATGTGCTCCTCAGCAGCAATCCCGAGCAGCAGGGCAGGGCAATGTTCGCCATCCACAGGCACCGACACGCAGATCCGCCAGATCAGGAGGGAGTGCTGCGCCCGGAGCCCCCGCCGTGGCCATGGAAGAGATCGAGAAGCCACCGCATGGTCCTACTATCCATGATTCCCTTCAGGGCGACGCTGACCCATGGGCCAACGCCAGCTGTGCCCGCAGCCGCTGAACAATTCGCCCGCGATATCGAGATGGCTCCGACCTTCGCTTCCCAACCTGCTTCTGCGCCAGCCACTCCAATCACTGGTTACGCTTCTCCTGGATCACAACACAAACCACACCCCGCACATCAAGCACGACATGGGCCTCTACCTGGGATACCCGAAGATCTCGATGTCGCTCTACGGGAACTCATGCATCGATAAGTTGCCACTGCCGCCTTCCGATTTCAAGAACAAGCTGACCAGCTCCTCGTTGAAAAATCGTGAAAGTTTCCGCCTTCTCGTTCAAGAACAAGACACCGCTGCAGAACGCCGAGTTGATGTACTCCATGACGAAGTTGCTCGTGCTCGCAGAGAACAAGACCGCCAAGCGACAGAACAGCAGCGAATGTGGCAACATATCGACCAGATGCGCGACACTCTTGCCCTCGCCGAAGCACAGACTCCGACCGCAGACCTCAACCGCCTCGCCGAATGGGGCCGGCAGCCCAACCCGGCGCTCTTCGTCGTGGGCTGCCAGCGCCTCCTGGCTCCGAACGTGGTGCTCAGCGACCTCCAGGAATGGATTGCAGAAGCCAACCTCCAGTCGAACCGCGCGGAACTACTCGGAGACGGCGAACCTGCCCGCCGTTTCGTCCAACAAGTCAAAGGAGACAGTGCTGTCGCAGTACCCCTTGCTCTCGCTCTCTCGCGCGCAGTGCGCAATGCTGCTGGCCACTGGAAGCGGTTTGCCTCAACTGACACAACAGGCCAGCCAGTGGGCATCTACATCAACCCCGACAAGTCCCCCAAGCAGATCAGAACAGAAGTCCAGACCAAGAAGCCCCTTCAGCTACTGCAGCAGCGCTGCCCCCTCGCCACTGGCGTTGAGCTTTTCGCCCCAAGGGAGATATCCACTGCGACCCCATGCCCGTCGCCAAGATTGTTCTCCGAGGCCAGGCAGACCCCTTCCATCCTCCAGTGGAACGAGCGAGCCTCCGACAATCCGCAGTGCCAGCCCATCGACCGAGGCAGCTTCCTCACTTCCTGCCAGGCGTTCTTTGCTGACGCGGAATCAGCCACCTGGTGCGCATGAACCTCGCCGTGTTCCTCAGCAGCATGTTGCCGTTGCGGTGCCGACCAGCGTCGTCTCAGAGAACGCGCGCGCCAACGTGTCTTGCAAGGGCAGGCGCTACTTCCACAAGCTAGCCGCCGCCAACTACATGAAAAGCAAGCACGAGATCACGCTCCTGGAAGTCTACGGCCTCGCTCACCTCGAGCTCGACCCTAAGTGCGTCGAGCTGCCCGTGTTCCCGTGTGCTGTCGCGAGCCCGCCCAGGGCCATCATGAATGTCAACCATGCCGATTACGTTGTCGCTGCCGTGCCCAAGGTCGAGCTGCCGCCCGCCCCTGCTGATTATTCTCGTGTTGCTAGCCGCCGTGCGTATCGTGTTGTGCTTTGCCCCGAGCTTCCAGATCGTCTTGGGCCCCGCGCCGAGCATCCATATCACCGCGTCGAGCCTCGCGCCGCGCATCAATGCCGCCTCGTCGTGTTCGGCCCCGCGCCAACTAACAAGAGTCATTCATGTGCACAGTGGCTTCGAGGTGGCCCCGGCCAGTGGTGCAGCTCCGATCAGCGCCCTCTTCTCGCGCCCACCTTAGTCGAGCTCGCCATCGACGCCGAGGGCACATGCGACGCTGCGCTTTTTTCGGGCGACCGCGCCGGCATCCGCGCGGTCATATCCCTCATCGTTGGCATCAAGTCGCACCAGCTGCTTAGCGTGCAGTCCGTCCTCCTTTCGATCTCCGGTGCTTCGCTCTTCACCATCAGGATCAAGCCGCGTCTGCCGCTGGTCGAGCAGGTCGCCCGCCCGCCGATCTTCCACGACCCGAACTACGCCGTCTACTTTCAGCAGCTGCTAGATGCCGCGAAGGCCGACCAGGTCTACATGGATGCCCGCTGGTTCTCATGCAAGAAGCCCATGTCTGGAACTACCCTGCTGGTCTGGTACGACTGGGTCCGCAAGTCCATAGATGTCATCAAGTAGTCGGGCCTCCGAGCTTGGGGCGTCATTATCGCGCGCTCCATCTAGGGCCGTCCGGAGACAAAATCTTCAACTCGCGCTTCGCGTCGCCACCGCCGCCGCCCTGCGCGCGAAGTCCCTCTCGATCGCCAACTGCGCTTTCTCGTTCTGCGTCGGCGTCGTCCTCGCCAGCCAGGCCGCCCAGATGCACTTCTGACTTCGAGACCATCGTTGCCGTGCTACGCGCTCACTGGCAACCCGCCCTCGATGCGAAGCACCCCGGCATTGCCAACGTCGCCGGCTACATCCTCGCGCACATGCCGAAGGGTGTCCCCATCGACGTCGGGGTGCCTGCCAGACCGCGTCTCCAGGCCCTCCTGTGCGGTGCGCCCCGTCTGCATATGGCCAAGTCCTTCTGCCGTGCTACGTCTGGCTCGCGCGCGACGCATCGCTCGACGTGTCTGAAGCTCTCTCCTCCTTATTCTGCTCGGGTCAGTACTGCATCCGCGATCTGAGCGACCCCGTCTTTGCCTTCCCGCTGAAGGGTGATGACGCGCAGGGCGAGCTCACGAATGACAGCGCGCCCGTGGACACCGACCCGCTCTCGCTGAAAAGACAGGAACATCATGGCCATCTCAGGTGCCGCTAATCTCTCGGTCAAGAACGCTGTGACAAGCGCGCATCACCCAGCAGGGCTTCTCCCAGGGCCGCAACCTCCCCGAGCTCATCGACCTCTGAGACGCCGTGAAGTGCCGTGCTGGATGGCTACCAGTCGCCACCGACTCCAAGCCTGTCGTCGCCAGCCTTTTCTTCTCGGGCACCATGAACTTCTTTCATGGCATGCACTTCGCACCATCCAGCTACATCAAGTTCAACTGCGAGCGCCACGACACGTTCGTAATCGGCTCCGGAGTAGTGCAGCGTCGCCCTGCATCAGGCGTGGCCTGGGAAATAGCCATGGACCTGATCACCCACCACCTCGCTGCGATTGTGAAGTTCCCAGACGGCGCGCCGATCGTGCACGTCGACCTGCTAACGAACCCGATCGACACGCTGTGCCAAATTACCACTCTGTTTTCCGATATGGGGGAGCATGCGCTCCTCTCTGTGACGCGGCGTAAATGTTTTTTCGTGCCTGTTTGGCCCGACGCGTCCCCAGCCACCATTGCCATTTCGAAAGCTCTCCTGGCCTCTCTCGGTTCTCCTTGGGATTGCTCTTCGGTTGTGGGGCGAGCCATGTTCCTGGGCTCTTTTCTCGGACCCGAGGCCTCGCTGGCCTGTCCAAGGCTCGTCCCTGGGCAGAAATGGTGGCAGCGGGGTAATCTACTTCAACATGGGCAGAGTGGCGGCACCGCCGCAGCCCTCCTTGACAATGCGTCAGCGCTGTCCATGATCCCACCGTTGCACGCCGTGAACAGCATGTAGTCATTCAGTCCGCCTGGTGCCGCCAGTTGCCTCTGATGCGTGCTTCGCAGCAGAGTCGCCTTCGGGTGCGTGGGGGCCTCTCTGGTCTTCCCAAGCAGCCAGCGTACAGTGCAACCGCTCTCCCATGCGCGTCACGCAGCTCAGTTGCCCTTCTCGCGCCAGTCCAATGATGGTGCCGCCTGCGCCGCTCGCGATGAGCGGAGTGAGGCGGCAGCCGCGAACCCGCTCTGGCGAGCTCAGTTCCAACGCATCTATACAGTCAAGCTACGCGAACAGTCCTCCAAGCCGTCTTTCACGGCAAGCCGTCTTTCACGGTTTTGCTTGCCAAGCGCCTCCATGCCTGGAGCCTTCAAGCGCCCGTGGTACATGGTGAACTACAGAAGCGCGGGGGGGCACTGCCCGACGCTCTCAAGCAGATGCGCCGTGGTTGGACTACCGCGGCGAGGGCGCAGATTCCTCGGCAGCACAAGTGCGCGTTCGGATGCACGGACGCACCTGAGTCATCTCCGCACTACCTCCTCTGGCTCCCCGACCTCCCCCTCATCCAATCAACGCTGACGGCATTGGGGGCTGGGCACGGCCGTAGCATATGCAGCTGACCCCCCCCGGCCCGTTGTCTTTGCCGGCCACGGTCTCGAGGATCGTCGTGACAATCCATATTTACTACAACATCAAATCCACTGCCAGCGCGCGCACGGCGGCGTTCTCGCAAGCAGACCTGGTCGCATCGCGCCGTGCAGCACACGCATTACTATACAGGTAGAAGCGCTAAGCCAGAGCACAGCGGCAGAGACTACCTCACTTGCCTTTTTGTCGTTCGTGCTCGTCTCCGCCTGCCCTCTTCCTTTCTGAGGGTGCCCCTGCTCCTCCTCCTCCTTCTCCTCCTCCTCCTCTTCCCTCCTCCTCCTCGTCCTCCCTGTCCTCCTCCTCCTTCTTCTCGCTCCTCCTTCCTCCCCGTCCTCCTCCTCCTCCTTCTCCTTCTCCCTCTCCTCCTTCTCCTCCTCCTCCTCCTCCTCCGCCTCCTCCTCCTCCTCCCATCTCATCCTTCACTTCCTCCTCCATTCCTGTTCCTGGTCACTAATTCCTCCCTGTCGCACCACGGGGCCGTTTGAAAGGGCGTGCCGGGCGTTTCACCGGATAATTCCCCACAGTTCATGGCCCTGAGTCTTAAACGTTGGCAACAGTTTCACAGATGAAGGGCAGGTGGTTTTCAAAAGGTGATGCTCGCCCTAGCAAGGGTCAGACGGATCGACGATTTGGAAGAATCTGACGGATCGATTTGCAAGAGTCTGACGGATCGAGGGCGGGTGGTTTTCAAATTGTCGCTGTCGCCTTAGCGTCGCGGACATTTGTCTTAAATCATTGCACGAAATTGACATATTGAGGGCGGGTCGTTCTCAACATTGTTCTCGGCTTAGCGTCGTGCGCATTCGTTTCTGTACCAGGAGCTTTTTGGACAGAGGGCGGTTCGTTTTCAAATTGTGGCTCATGCCTACGTTCCGCGCGCATTCGTTGTAAAACTTTGCAAGGTTTTCATGGGTTCCCATGGCCAACATACCAAGAATGGTGTTTTGGATGGACTCAGGATTGTGAGGGTGCATCAATTACGTTGGCTCGCGGTGATGAGTTCCCACGAAAATGGTGTTCTGGCGCGATTCTAGATCGCCAAGACGCAACCGTCAGGTTGATCCGTGGCGGTGGAGTCCCAGCAATTGATGTATTGGCATACTTCAGGGTCGCCAAAAGGTTGTCCCCCAACGGGGCTTTCGTGGAAACGACATTCTGTAGGGGCCTATGCAGAGGGAGCTTGGAGGGATGGTTCATTCCGACATTGTTGGTGACTCTTGGGTTTAGAGTCGGGCGCTTCGGAGACACTTGTCGCCCTCAAGGTATTGTTACTGTCGCTCTTCCTCCTGTTTGCGTTGGCCTCCTCGTCGTCCTCCTCCTCCTCCTCCTCCTCCTCCTCCTCCTCCTCCTCCTCCTCCTCCCCCTCTCCCTTCTTCCTGTGCCCCCCGCCCTGCCCCTTTCTCCGCGGGTGGGCACCGCGAGCTTCCAGATTCGGGCACGGCGAGCGAGCGCGAACGTTCGGGGCCATCGGACAAATATCGACTCCTGAGGGACGGCCCCCTGCAGGTCTGACGGGTTCTCCTCCTCCTCCTCCATCCCTTTTCCTTAGAAGTGCCCCCTCTCTGTCGCACCCCAGGCGTGTCGGTAAGACGGGCCGGGCGTTTCGCCTGGGGTTTCTTCGCTTTGTATGATCCTGTGGCTTGAAAATTGCAGCGGTTTCGCGGATGGATGGCGATTCTTATGAAGATGCGGCTCTCGCCTTAACTCCGCGCGCGTTTGCATTGAAAGTTTACAGCGTTTTCTCGGACGGAGGGCATGTTGTTTTCAAACTGCGGTTCTTCACGCAACGCCGCGCATAGTCGCCTGACACGTTTGCAACCGTTTCAAGGGTGTAGGGCGAGCCCTGTTCAAAGTTATAGACGCTTCGCGTATCCCTACCAGCCTTTGCTTGCTTGTCGCTGTATAATTAGGCTCGCGCGTAGCCCGCCCGACCTTCGGATGCCGCCTGCGCTTTCGCTTGCGGCCGCGACAAAGACGTATCCCCACCAGCTCTGACGCTGCTGGCGCGCTCGCCTGCGGCCGCGACGAAAAGTATCCCCACCAGCCCATCCAGAAACGATGTCCAGGCGAGTTGAGGTGATCAGGGGAGTGCGGCAGCAAAGAGGAGGACGGCCGAACCGTGCAAAGGAGTGAGGAGGAGAAGGAAGAAGTGGATGGATGGATGGATGAGGGAGTGGGAAGAAGGAGGATGACTATGATGAGGAGGAGGCGGAGGAGGAGGAGGAGGGAGGAGGAGGAGGAGGAGGACGAGAAGGAGTAGGGGCAGGAAGGAGGAGCAGGAGGAGGAGGAGGAGGAGGAGGGCAAACACAAGGGCCAGCGGTCTCTTGGATGCCTCTCGAAGCTTCTTGGGGTAGCTCTTGGGCGATTCTTGGTGGCCTCTTGGGACGTCTTGGGGGTCTCTTGGCGATCCTGGGGGGCTTTTCGGGGTCGTGGGTGCCTCGGAGGGGGCCTCTTGGGGCCGCTTAGGGTCTTCTTGGGGGCCTCCTGGGGCCTCTTGGGCGCCTCTTGGGCCCATCTTGGGGCTATCTTGGGACCTCTTTGGGCCTCCTGGGCGCTTCTTGCGGCCATCTTGTAGGAGATCGGTCAACGAAGGGGGGTTCCTTAATTACGCCCCCTCCCCCCCAGGATGCCAAAACGGGGCCAACACCCTAGCACAATCAATGATGTTGGCTTCCTCGCCGAGGCCGTTTTGGACGCTCTAACTACCCGCGGCCCCCCGTCCAGGTCCACGGGGAGGGGGTAGGGGGATGGGTAAACCCCTCCCCGAAGGGGAAGAGGGAGGGGTGGAAGAGGAAACGCCTTAAACCACCGACGCCCAGAGGGCTGGTGGGATTTGACGTTCGCTTTAGACCCGCGCACATTCGTCTTAACATCTTGCAGCAGCTTCAATGATGGAGGGCTGGTAGTTTTCAAACTGTTGCTCTCGCCTTAGCGCCGCGCGCATTCGTGTCACTATTGTGCAGCAGTTTTAAGGGTTCGTATGATCGAGGTCCCAGGCATTACAGTTTGGCGCGATTTAGGGTTCTCAAGACGCGGCTGCGACGTGTTGAAGTCCCACGAATATTTTTTGGCACGGTTTAGAATCGTCAGGACGCAACAGTCACGTTGATTGGCGGCGTTGAAGTCCCATGCCATGTGTTCGAGCACGATTGAGGACTCTCAGACGGTTGTCTTCACATTGGCCGTTTCCCACTGACAGCAAATTCTTCAAAGGACCCATGGGCAGGGAACTTCGAGAGAGGGTCTATCACAGTATCGTTAACGCGTCTCGGATTTGCACTGGTCCTCCTCCTCCTCCTCCTCCTCCCTTTGCTCCTCCTCCTCCTCCTCCTCCTCCTCCTCCTCCTCCTCCTCCTCCTCCTCCTCCTCCTCCCCCTCGTCTCCTTCGAGGCTCGGGGGCCGCCATTTTTGGACCCTCTCCGCCCCTTCTGCGGGCCCCGGAGGCCTCTGCGGGTTCCAATGCGAGTCTGCGGGGAGCCCTCACAGAAACCCGTGGGGACCTCCAGGAGGCTTCCCTCCGCTGACCTCCAGGGACCACCGCCTCGGAGTAGGGGAGAAGGAGGAGGAGGAGGAGGAGGAGGAGGAGAAGGATGATGATGAGGATGATGATGATGATGATGATGATGATGATGCTGATGATGATGATGATGATGATGATGAGGATGATGATGATGATGCTGATTCTGATGCTGATGATGATGATGATGATGATGATGATGATGATGATGATGATTGTGATGCTGATGCTGATGCTGCTGATGATGATGATGATGATGCTGATGATGCTGCTGATGATGATGACGCTGCTGATGATGATGATGATGATGATGATATGATGATGATGATGATGATGAGGAGGAGGAGGATGAGGAGGAGGAGGAGGAGGAGGAGGAAGAGGAGGAGGAGGAGGAGGAGGAGGAGGAGGAGGAGGAGGCCCTCTCTTCCTCCCTCTCTCCCCCCTCTTCTTTCTGCTGCCGCTCCCGCCGAAGGTGGCGAGTCCGCCACGCCCGCGCGCCCGGGGCCTGCCCAGGAGGCCCGGGTGCTGGCTGGCCTGGTCGAGAGGGGTAAGGCCCCGCGGTGCGCAGACATGGGGCAGGGCTCGTCGTCGTCGACGTCCTCCTCCTGCTCCTTTTTTGTGACGTTGGTCAGATTTTAGCTGCGGGGCTGAAGCGTTCCTGCGGGAAGGCAAAGCAAGCAGTGCAAGGCCGACTTAGGCATAGCGACACGCAAATAAAACTGTCGAAGTGTGCATAACAGAACGTGCAAGCATAACAAAAAGCATTGACCCATTAGGATATGGAGTAACGCCGCCGTCTGCCGTTTAAGGGGAGGAGGTGCAAAGCCAAACGACACATACGGAGGATTACAACTTGGGTGAATCCGAACAAGAGGGCTCGAGCTACACGCGCACAGTAAGCAAAGGTGGCGACATAAGCTGGTCTGCCAAGTGTTCGTGCCCGATCCTAGTGGGTAAAGCCTCACGGGTGACCTAAGACGCTTAGAGCCTCCACCGCTTAAAACATTCCCCGCCACAAGTCGCTCCACTACAATACCACTATGTCAGATGCGAGGTCAGATGCAAGAGTGCTGCGTAGTGCTCTACCCAACGCTTGGGGAGCAACACGTTCGCTTTCATACTGACCGTAAGGTCAGCCTGGCTATTTGCCAGGTGCTAGAGTTCTTGACCATCGGCGGAGAATTGCACAGCTGGTCCCGCGTACCGTGGACGACCGATTAGGGTGCAAAAGTGCCCTGATGCGGAGTTGCGAACCTTCGTGAGCTCTCTCGGATGGCCGGCCAGCAAAGCAAGAGCGACAGCGTTGGATGAGGATTCCCAGGGCCACGCCGCGTCAAAACGAGAACGGATACAATGGAGCATCGCGTTGACATCGGCATGACAGCGACGATGACGACGGTGACGCTGACAATATCAAGTGCCCCATGCGGAGTGATTAAGCTGTGAGCGGGTCCAGTTCGGGGTGATTCCTGTGCCTATTCTTTATGTGTCGGAGTAAGTATCACGCCGTTATGTGTATATTATAGCTACGGGATACGAGCCCATCGGATTTGGACCGCTCCCTGACCAAAAGTCTGTCGCTGAGATTCTACGGGGGGGGGCGCCGGGGGTGTGCACAGCTTGACCTCTGATGGTCGAAGCTTTAGCACCCCCAGGTAGTTCAGCCAGTATGCATCTAGCCGTATGCTGAACCTCCTCCCGTATCCACCAGGTCTATTTCCTGTTCCCACAGAGCACGGTCACGTAAACATATTTGCGAATGGGTGCAAGATGGAGCGTCACCGTGTAAGGTTGGAACTGGCAGTAGGTAGGTGTTGACAAGGCTAGCACGGAAGGTACAGGCTAACCAGTTGGTTTGCTTAAGTGGTTACGAGAGTAGCGAGATGCGCGGCTGTAAGACCACAGGTGGCAAGATGTCTTCGGGGTACGAGGAGGGCTCCTGCGCAGAGTTCCGTAGGTGGCAACGTGTTGAAGTGTGGGCTGCGTGCAAGCGTATTCCTCCCCAGCCTCCCCACCGATCCTCGAGCCCCTTTCCCTCGTAGATGCGGCGGTCGCAGGTTGAAAGGGCTCCTCCTACATTAAAGTGCTGACAGGTCAACGCTGTAGGCTGGCCAGGCAGAATTTACTGCGTTTGCTGATCGTAAGACTGGCCTGATTCACAATCTTGAGCAACTCGATAGACTTAGAATATTGAGATGCAATGGTCAAAGAATGGCTGCAGTGGGGCCATCTTCCTGGCGACCAGGGGGGCCCGACATAGTTGCTTCCATCCAGCCTGTCCCGCTGCTGCTATATTTCGCCCCACACCCGTTCAGAGAACATACATGATGATAGTACGGCTCAGTGATAAACGAGCAAATGAGAATATTTTATGCGCTTCTGGATTAAAGGGGAAGTGCTTTAAACAAGTCTGGATAACAAGCGGAGGGTGGACCACATGAGTGCGGGGGAAAATATGGAAATGAGTGGACAGCCTCTCATGAATCGTACCGCTGGTGGTCTCTGTTGCACCGAGAATAGCTGCCGTCGACGACATGAGGTCGTAGATCTGTTGAGTCTGCCGTGTACTTCTCATCTATCCTCCGTATGATGCGTGCTTGGGTCGGAACGTCGGGAATCTTCATCATAACTTGTCTGCAGACCCCGTTGATTTCTAGTTCGTATCAAGTTCAAGTGCGAGAGCAGTACAGAGGTCATCGCCAACATGAAGCAGCTCTCGTTGAAAATGAAGATGCCGGCTTGAGAGACATGGCAGAGCGGAGGACACATGGTGCAGGGGAAATGGGGGGGCGGGAGGGGCAGGCTTGGCTTCGCGAGGGGGCTGGTGAGGGGTTGGCAGGGAAACTAATCTTCCAGGGGGGCGAGGGATGCGTTCGCAGCGCAATTTCTTGCATCCGACGAGACATCTAATATTCGTAGTCTGCCTCGAACCTGGGGGCGCTCGGTATGTCTCGTGGTCCCCACGGTTGTGGTGCGGGCGTGGGGCGCGGCATCGGCGCCCCGTGGCTATCTTGTGAGCATTCCGGGTCCACGGTGACGCTTCGGTCCGGTCTTCCGTATCCCCTGAACGCACCTTGCGCGTCATTCTTGGCCCCCCTCGTGGACCGTGGCCCTACTGTGGCCCGCTCGCAGTGCCCTTGTAAATTCGCTTGTTTGGGACCGCCTTGTGGCCTTCCGACGTTCTCTCGCCCCGGGTTGCTTCATCTGAGCGCCATCAAGCCCTGTGCGACGGCCGAATGACCGCCGCTGGCATGCTTGAAGTCCTGGCCCCAAAGATGCGCCCGCTAACTGTGCCCACTAGTTCTGGCAGGATTACTGGGCACCCTCTGGGGCGCGCCCGCGGAGGTGCCCACTGCCGTGCCCCAAGATAAGCCCGCTAGCTGTGCCCGCTAATGTTTCTGTCCGCCGGTGTGTGCTTGTGCCCGAAGAGGTGCCAGTTGCCGTGCCCCAAGAGGTGCCCCTTAATGGTGCCCGAAACGGCGCCCGTTAACGTCGCCCACAACGAGGTCCGATGGGCGGGGCCTTTCACGGTGCTCGCTCACATTTCAGTGTGAAACAAAAAAAACATTGGTGGATGAGTCAGCGGGCACGTTTCCGGGGGCGCCTGGCTGGGCGTTAGGGAACGCCCGTGGCGCATGGTATCCCCGTCTGCGCGAGAGGCGCTGTGCCCTTCCCGAGCACGGGGAAGGGGAGGTGGCTGGGGAGGGGACAGGAGAGGCGTCGGGGAAGAGACAGGACGGACTACGAACGTGTAGGAGCAGGAACATATTCTGAATTATTATGTTTGCAATCCTTGTGCGTGCGAGCTGCTCTTGCGATTGGTTAGACATGCCCCATTAATGATGTGTCGTCCGTTGTGTCGTGTTGGCTGTCCATGTGTCGTAAGGTGGTCTAGCTATAATGGCTGCCACTTGCCCTTGGATGATGCGCTCTATCCAGGTGTCTGTGACCTCTGGGGCTGCTAGGTCAAGTGGTGAGTCTGCTCCGTGGTCAATTCTGATGCACGTGTATGTTTGTGTGACGTGGGTGTGTTCTAGGTGCTGCTGGAGATCATGGCAATGTATGTTATACTGAAATAAGAGGAATATGAAAGCTGGAGAACTCTTGTTGTCGTTAGGGGGCTGGCGAACTCCTGCTTTGGATCCAGAGTCGTAGCTGGCAGTATAGGTACGTCGGACTGTACCAGTGCTTGTCTTTCGTGGCCTGCTGGTTTTACTGCAGGAGTGGTTGCTGCGTCTGCCCTGGGTCCATTGTCCCCGTTGGCCCGTTTGTTTGTCCTGCCGTTCTGCCGTAATGCTTGCACGGTGTCAGGTGGAATGAGCGGCATGTGCTGTAATCCGAAGTTCTGGTAACGTGCTATTCTGCATCGCAGGCGCGTCAGGAACCGCTGTCGAGAACTTGAATTTCCAGCACTTACAGGTCTTGTTCTAGGCTCCGTTGACAATGTCATCTTGTTGCGGTAGCTTCTTTGTGCGACGTGCTCTCTGGTCCCAAAATCGTATTGGAAGTGTGTCTGCATTCATCGCATACGTAGGCTGTTTGCGGTTGTGGTGGAGCTGGGTCAGAATCGTCACTCTCGAAGTCAAGCTGTCGTTGATGCTCTTCATATTTGTGTGCGCTGCTGGTCCACGTATGAGATGAATGTTCTGCACTTTGCCTTTTCGACCTGCCATAGGTAGTGCTCACGTGCTTCCTGTGCGTGCTCGAGCCAGCGTGCTGTGTGCCAGTTTTTCAGTTTGTCGACGGTGTCTTTGGTTGTGTAGTTAACCAGCGTGGGTCCGAGGTCATCGTGTTGAGCCAGGTAGTGGGAGTAGAGAGCGGCTCGTGTGTTAGATCGGTCAATCGTAGTAGAACGTGTGGTGCGTTGGTGGACAGTTTTGCCATCTATTTGAGCCGCCGAGGTGGTAGATCCGTCTCATAGTCGACTCTTTGTGCTATGATATGTAGGCGTTGGTCGGTCACGTTTGAGTCGCTGTTTCGTAGAAAGTGCGTTTTCGTGGTACTGCGGTAAGAGTGGCTTCTTGCTGCGATGATCTGTGCTGTCGTTGGTTTGCCGAGTGGTCTCTAAGTTTCAGCGAGGCAGACCTTGATGTTATTTCACATGCAGTTGTTTTTGTAGTGCGTCGCTTCAAATGGTGGAAACGATGCTTGTTTTTTGGTCACCTAGCGTGCTGCACGTACCGCTCTTGAGCATGCTGGATTGAAGTGAGTGCCGAGGTAGTCGTATATGTGTAATGGTGATTAGCTGGTCCCAGGTGGAACAGTAGATGGCTGGCGTGCTGTCTGCATGGAGTTGCTGGTTGGCCTTGTCTGTGCCCTCGTCCACGAGGTGCATGGCAAGTGCGGACTTGGCTTGCAGTTGAGCTTGAGATGCATCTGGTCAGTAAACCGTGCGTGGTAGTAGCTATTTCTATCATGTAGTGCTCTAAGAGGTCGCTGTCTTTGCACTGTGCTAGCATCAGCGTGTCGTCGACGAAGGCGATGCTGGTAGCGTTTGCGTCTTGGTCTTTGCCGGTGTGTTGGCATTTTGAGAATAGTGGTTGTGCTGGTGTCGGTAGTTGCACTGCTTATGGCTGGCCTGTCATATGTGCTGCAAGATCGTTGAGTGGTCTTGCAGATAGAGAGGTTGTACATCGCATCTGCGAGGCTATTGCCAGGTCGTGTGCCTTTTGTTCGGTGGGCCGTCAGGTGCGAGTGCTTACGTGTGAAATGGGATGCTCGGTAGGATTCGACGATTCGTGCTGTGAGGTACTGGCCACATCCGCGCGTGCCAGGCATAACAGGGAGGTTCAGAATGGCTTTCGCTGGCGGTAATGCTGGAGGAAAATCGTGGTGCTGCTAGTATGCCGAATTGTCGGGATTAGATGTGCGCTCCCCGAATACCGTCTCGCGAACCATTGTGTGAAATGCTGCTGTGAGGTCGATGTAGTAGCGCATCGTGCTGAATTTGTATTTGCAGAGGTAGTCGGTCGTGAGCGTGGTTGTATGTGCTACAACTGCTGTAGATCTCCCTAGGTCGCAGTACTTTGGTTAGTATGGTGTTGAGGCTCTGTCTGAGGTAGGTCTAGTGTAGCTTGGGGATCTCGGAGACCAGTAGAATGGATCGGTGTTGTGTTGCGTCACTTTGCTGGTTGTTCCCTGGCCTTTGTGCAGAGGTATTGAGGCGCCATGTTTCCAGAGCAAAGGCTCCTGTTGTGTCAGAGATGCCTTCAGGAGTCGCGGGCGTATCGTCTTGCTGTGCTATTTGGTGCCGCTTGGGGACGGTCAGTCGTAATTCTGTCTAGTCCTGGTTGTTTCCTACGGTTGACGTTTTTGATGAGCGTAGTTGTGCGTGGTAGCGGAATCACGAAGTCAAGTGATGCTGGTTTGTTTGCCGTGCGTAATGTGTCGCTGTAGAACTTCTGGATTCCCTCGTTGTCCGTGATGTTGGCTTCTTCCTGTCGTGCGAAATGCCTTTTAAGTTCGTCACATTGTTGCTGGTCATCTTGAAGTGCTTTGCCCGCGTCGTCCGGGAAGTATGGCACCACTTTCGCTTTGGCTGCTTTCTTTTAGTAGATGGTCCATCGCGAGTCCTGCTTTGGGGTGTTGCCACGCTGCCCTGTGTTCGTGCAAGCCATGGGGTTGTTGAAAGGAGTCCGACACTGCTGCTACGTTGCTGGCTCTGTCTTGTTTAAGTTTGTGTGCAAGAGGTGTACGCGTCCTGGCTAAAGAAGGTCCGCATTGCCTGTTCTGCATTACTTATGCGGTCGGTTGCAGAGGTGTATCCTGCGAGATGTAGCTGACGTATGTGCTGGTCGGTGGGTCCGCCCATAAGGTACTGCTCGACGCCCTGGTTGAGTTTGTAGATCATGGTGCTCGTAGTCGTGTGCCTCTCCAGTCGTAGCACAGCTATCGCGCGTCGTCGTAGTCTTATCAGCTTCATTGTGTCCGAATATATGCTTGACGTGGAGTGACGTCGTCAGTAGGGAAGCAATATGTAGCTGCTGCGTGTAGTACGCTTGTCGTGTCTCAGGTCGGTAGTGGCTGGCTGTCGAGTAGCCTTGCGCATTGTGTCTGCAAAGCTGGGTATTGCATTTTGGCGTGGTCGTAGGGTGGTGGTTGCTGTCGTCGTGATTTTGTATGCTGTCGTTTGTGCTTGATGGTTCGGTAGGCCGGGCAATGGCCTTCGTTTTTTGTACCTGAGTCGTGCTGGTGGTCATCGTGTGGTCCAGCAGTGAACGGCATCCAGTCGTTGCTGATTGATATGTAGTCGTTCCCGTGCTGGGTAATCTCGCCGTTATTTTTTGACCAGGGTAGGTCGTTTCATGGTAGGTAGTTTCATGGTTAATGATTGTGTTTGCGCAAGTGGGGTTGTGTGCTGCCGTCGTGGGGCGTACTTGCTCTGCATTATCGTCTTCTCCTCGTTGCTGGTGTGCAGGTGGTGGGGAATTTCCAATGCCTGGTGTGGTGTGAGTGGTGATGCGTGCATTGAATTCGGCCAGTCGCATGGTAGGGAGTCATTTGTTGGCCAAATCGTGGAACGTGTCCCACCATCGTGCTGTGTGTCGCGTATCGTGCTGTATTTGAGGCGCGCCTTAGCTTGATGATCAGAAGTCGGTGGGATGAGCGTAGAACTCGGGAGTGCTTGTTCTTGAAGTAGAACTGTTGTTTAGGAGTGGTCGCATACAGTCGTGCTGTGATGACCCGCAGGTTGCATCCAAGTTTGGATGGGTGTTGTGGCGTAGTGAAGCTCATGAACATGTCTGCTGTGCTGAAGTCACTCTTGGCTGTCGTTCCCTGAATCCCCATGACGTGGACCTTCTGTAATAGTTCTTGTGCTTGTAGGTGCTGCCTTCTCGTCATGTGGTACAGGATGTGCTGGTCGTGCGGTTGCAGTCCTTCACCTGTTGCGTCCATGCTTGCTCTTTGCGCATTGTAGGTGGCAAGCTTGAGGTGGACCGTAGTCATGCTCTTGTCGTTTGTCAGCGGTTCTAGTTGGGGTCGTCGGTAATGCTTGTTGTCTCGAGTCGTGGTGGTAACATGTGGTGGTAGCTCCGTTAGTGCGTCTGGTAGTGGACGCCGTCCTGCTGTATCATGGGGTATGCACAGTAGTCTGTCGTAAAGATCTCTCTGGTGGGTCGTCCGACCTATTGGCGGCGTGTCTTCCAGTAGTGCTGCTATTGCTGGTCAGGTCGTGGGAATCTACTGTCTAGGTCCGTTGTGCGACAGGTGTCTGAGCTGGCATGTACCGGTGCGAGGCTGCTTAGCCAGTGTGTCTGCTAGCTCGTTTCATGGGTGATCGTCGTGTCCATGGATGTGGTGGAGTGTGATGTCGTGCGTCTTCCGTGCTGGTTGGTGTAGTACTTGCGCTAGCATGATGATAAGGTCGCCGCCGTGCGCGAATTGAGTCACTATGTGAATTGCATTGACTGCATCAGAGTGTATTTGCTTGTGGAGGTGGGAAGGCTGTTGTGTGGCGTACATAACGCCCCTTCTGATAGCGGCTAGCTCTACTTTGTTGCTGTCGAGGCTGTCGTTGTCGATGCCGCTGTAGATGCTGTGCGTGAAGCTACCCATGACAAGCCGTGGACCACGGAATGTGCTCGTCGTACTTGAGTACAACAAGTGCCCATGCACATTCGGATTTGGTTTGTTTGAGGGATCCTCCAGTGTATATTACCAGTGAAGAACAGGTTGGTCGTGGCTGGATGTAAACTTGAAGTGCTGCTGGAGTGGCTTGGTGTAGAGTGATGTCGGTTAGGTCGGGTTGGAGCTGTCGAAATTTGATGGAATTGCGGATGGCGGTGAACAGATGGTGCGGTATGTTATGTTGTATGTGATGTGTGTTTCTGCTGCTCCTTCTGCTCTTGCTCGTCTTCCTCCTGCTCTTAGAGGGACGCCCCCTAGCCCTTGCTCCCTTATGCGCGCCGCTGGGAAGGCCGTTGGCGCGGACGCTGGGCTTCTTCGCGAGGTGTCGGGGAGCGCCAATCATCGACCTAAGAAGTAACTTCCCTCAGATCTGGGAGTGGCGAGATGATCACGACCCTCAGTTTTTCTTCAGTGTCAGCGCTCTTGCTGAATCTCGGCAGCCGGGGGGGCTTGTTTGGGCCCTCGGGGCAGCACCACATCCTGGGTTAAAAAGCGACCCCCCAGGGAGGGGTTCGACACCTTGGGGGCCCGCGGGTTGAAAAAGCACACCGCCCGATGTCTGGGTACGTGCCCCCAGACCTGGGAAGGGAGAGGATCACGATCTGCAGCTTTGCCACGTTCCGGGTCTCGGGGCCCTGACGGAGCGATCTGGCCCGAGAAAGCAGGCGTCCATAGATGGGGGATCGAAGTTCCATCTGCGTTTTGTTGTTGTTGTTGCTGCTGCTGCTGCTGCTGCTGTTGAACATTATTAATTCTAAAGAATAATTATTGTTGGGGCCCCTGGTGCACGGCCCCCCTGCGCCGCCTAGGCCGCAGCTACATTTTCATCATTTTCGTGAGGAAGCCTCAGGTAATTCGATGTGATCAAGATCCGGTTGTTTTGTTCCCCCCCGCTTTCCCTTGCAAAAAACACTATAAAATGACATTTCTTGTTCTAATATAATCAAATTTCAAGAATCCCTTGCAAAAAATAAGGTAAAGTGGACATTCGCGCGCGCAAGACGAAATCCTTCCAAAAGCTTAGTGTTCGGAGCGATTTTAACATAAAAACATCAAAAAACCAATGGTTTTTCAACAAAAAAATGTCAAAATCTCATCCCGCGCGCTCTTGCGGATTCGTAGGAAACCCAACACTTTTTAAACATTTCTGTCAAACGGGCTTTTGCGAGCAACTTTTTCGAACTTCTGCGACAACGGTTGCGCACCTGCCAGGGCCATCATCCCTGTCAAATAATACCATGCGGGACACATTCGTTTTTTCTTCGCGCGCGCACGCCGAAATCTCCAAAAACCATTGGGCTTCTTAAGAATTTTAGCACCGCGCATCATAAAATCACACGAATCGCACCGTAGGTCCTCGAAAAACACCTGCACGACTTTTCAAAATTTCTACCCGCGCGCGCTGTCCTAACAACTTCTGTGGGTGTGTACTCCACGCCAGTGTAGTAGCCACGGTCGTCCGCAGGCCACGAAGTGAAGTGTCCGAACGTCATAGGGCGGGAAGCTGGGTGTGGGTGGTGGCGAAGAGTCGTGTGGATATTTGGTAGAGCTTGCACTGCCCCCCCACAAAGTGGGGGTATTGGCTGGCGTCGCATGAAAACCCTGGCACTGGTGAGAACACTGAGCGTTCGGGTAAAGTGATTGTTGTTGTTGTTGTTGTTGTTGTTGTTGTTGTTGTTGTTGTTGTTGTTGAACCTTAATTACTAAACAATTATTATTGTTGGACCCCCTATATTCGCCCTGGCGCTCTCGCCGAGGCGCCGGCCGCATTTCCTCTGAAATTGAGGCTCACGCTCAGGCGTTTTGGGGTTCCGCCAAAACCGGCCCCCCAACAACAACAACGCTCCGGCTCGAGACTTCCTCCTTTTTTACTCGGGCTCGGTGCTCTTCTTGAGTGCAGCTTGCTCTCACTGGCTTATAACTAGGGATACGAAATGCAATGTAAATACTTAGGCGCGCGCTACCGCTATCTAGTTGTAAACCAAATTCTATCTAAACCTAAATCCAAACCTAAATGTGTTAATGGTTGCTAAGTTTTTGCCAGTGTTTCTAAGTTTTTCTAAGTTTTTGTAAATGTTTGGGCACCCCACAAAAGAGAGTACTGGAAGGGGGGGGAAACCGTTTCCAGTTTGCTCAAGTGATGGCGACCCCCGCCAAAAGGCCGCGCCTCACTGGTCCGATTGTATCGGAATGTCTTCGGGTGTCCAGGGCTGACCTTGGTCGCATATTAGAAGTAGCGGAGAATGGCGGGGACATTGAAACTCTTCAGACGGCTACTCCATTTGGCGGCGTGATATGCTCATTGAGTATTCCAGCTAAGGAAGGAGAAGACGTAAAAGTCAACTATATAAACCCATTTGCGTTGATGTGGACACTGGCTGAAAGATCAACAGCGTTCATTCCATTCTTGCAATCTTGTCTCGCCTCGGCTGGATCCGACACGTTTCGCTTGATTCTATATAACGACGCCGCCAGGGTGGGGAACCCGTTGCGTCCTGACGACGCACGCAATGTAGAGGCCGTGTACTGGTATTTTTTAGAGTGGCCAGATTGGTTTCGGGCTCGCGAGTGCGGCTCCTTCCCTCTTTCGTATGTGTTGGTGGACAATGCAGACCGAATTAAAGGGGGCCGCGGTTGCTTGATGAAGCACATGCTAAAACTGTTTTATCGTCAGTTTGGTTTTGACATGGGCGTTGGGATTGATCTTGGCGATTTTCGTCTTCGAGCGCAATTTGCTGGGTTTCTCCAGGACGAGAAGGCACACAAATTCATGTGGGACGTTCGCGGGGCTGCGGGCCTGTTATGTTGCATGCATTGCAAAAACATCATCAATTGCGTTCCAAGCCGCGTCGCTGACCATCCCTATTTGCGCCACTACTCCACAGCATTACCCCACGAATTTGATTTTCGGACGACACAGACGTTCATCGAAATGGTTGAGGGTTTGGCCGCCGCTGTCGGGCGGCTTACGCGGGCCCAGTTCGAGCAACTTTCGAAATCGTTAGGGATGCATTACAACGTGGATGGGCTTGTTATGGACCCGCACTTGCGGGCAACGCTTCGGCCGCCCGAACACGCGCACATAGATTGGATGCACACGCTGGTTGCAAGCGGCGGGATCGCCCAATTCGAAGTCAACGACGTCCTCAGGCAATTGGCTTCTCGTGGCGTTCCCACCAACACCATAGACGACTTTCACGCTTCAATCACGTGGCCATTTCGAGGGGGTAACCTACCGAAAGGATTTTTCAGCAACAGGCTCGGCAGTCAAAACAAACCTCCCAGATGTTTTTCCAGCGAGACTCTGGCAGCAGTGAAAGTATTGAGTGCGTTTTCGAGGGTAGATCGGCGCTGGCCAGCAGACATGATTGAGCAGAAGCGCTGTTTAGTACTATTAGAAACAATGTTGGATATGTTATGTTCGGGCGACACAGTGGCAGCTCACACAGACAAACTTTTTGATGCTACGCTCGCCCATCACAAACTCTACATTCGGCTGTACGTCCCGAGGATGGCAAAACCAAAGATGCATTTGATTTTCCACGCAATTTGGTCGATCGCCCGTCTGAGGAGAAGTTTAAACTGTTTCAGCTTGGAAGCCCATCACAAATCGTTGAAGGCTGCCGGCAGTCACGCTCGCGGGAATTGTTTCGAATCGTCCTGTTTGCAACGCGTTCTCGGCGCAACTGTTGCGCTTATAGATAGATGCGCCTTTGAAAGTTCTGCCCTGCGGGGCGCCTGTTCCAGCATGCCATCTCTTCGTTGCGCACTGTTGGTCCTGGACCCTGAAGCTGGACACGACGTGCAGGTGTCAGCCGTGGCAGACACACCCATCGGAACACGTTTAAAGGCTGGCGATTGCATTCAATTAGGTGGTAGTGATAACACATTTACCTTCGGTATTATAGATTGCATCGGCTCCGTCACGTCGATGACGAAGCCAACTCTTGCATTTTTCGTTGTTTTCAAAGAGCTCCAACGAATTGACGCGCGTGGAGTTTGGGCACTCAACGGACGCACGTCCTTGGCACGATTGTCAGATGCAGTTGCTGCGCTGCCATTTTTGCCTGCACCTGGGGGCATTTGCCTCGTGCACTCGCAGTGCCCTTGGTTGTCAGTTTGAAGAAACTGATTGGATCGCACAGGAAAAAATATGTCCTGCCTCCTCCTCCCGAGGAGGAGGAGGAGGAGGAGGACGAGGAGGAGCAAATGAAGGACATGGTGAGGAGGAGGAGAGGAGGAGGAGGAGGAGGAGGAGGAGGAGGAGGAGGAGGAGGAGGAGGACCTCCTCCTCCTCCTCCTCCTCCTCCTCCTCCTCCTCGGGTGGCTCGCCCCCGCAAGCCCAGAGGTTCGCGTGGAGAGGCTCGCCTCTGCCCTCGGCTCGCCGCGCGCGTCATCCTATTGTTGCCTCGTCGTTTCATTTCTCCCACTCCTGCTGCTCATGCTGCTGCTTCTACGCCCCCCTGCCCCCTCCTTCAACGCCCCGCCATTATCGCAATCATCGGCATCATTATCAGATCAAGCTTCATATTATCATCGCACATTGCTGTCTCAATGCCACCGCTGCCACCGCAGCCATTTCATTTCTCGAGGAATGGCAGGTCGCGAGGTCACTTCGCAGCGCGCGCCGGGCGCGCCGCCCGACGGCAAGATCGGGCCCATTCCTATTGGGAGCGGAACTCTCACTAAAGCAGACCAAGATGAGATCTATGCGAAGACTGGATGCTGGGCTAGAACTCGCGACCGCGGCCGTGGTCGAATGTTGACAGTCACAGGCCCTGTGACGTCGCTCCGCCAAGCGCACGATGACGCCATGGCGGTCATTGCCATGCATGGCGTTTCTGGCGGACGAAGGCCTCGAGCGGAGCAAGACGCCCTGCGCGCTCAGCAGCGCGAGGAAGCAGCCTGGCGCCACTCGCACTTCGCCCGCCACGAGCCGCCTGGGTTGCAGCCGGCGGGATGGTCAGCAACCGACTCGTCGATCTGGCAACCCGTTTTCCAGAGCACTGACTCATGGGGCTGGTGCGACTGGAGTGGCTGGAGCGCTGGCCAGCATGACTGGGGCGCAGCGGCTGCGGGAGAGCAGACCTGGCTAGGCGAAGGGCAATCGGAGCAAGACCCTTGGGCCGCTTGGGGCACCGAGCCAGCCTCGGCATCGGCTGAGGCAAGCTCAAGCTCGGAGTGGGCCCCGTCCAGACTCCTTGGGCCTGCAGGGTTTTTGGCGCCACAGATCGCTGAGGAGCCCGCGGAGAATATCGCCACTGAGGACGCCCGCAACGAGGATATGATCAAGGTGCAGCCGATGTTTCACACCGACGCCAG